GATGAAGGATAGTTGTATGGGAGACACCCAGCAAGTCCGCAAGCTCTCGCGATGTTTGCCGGTTGTTGGCCTCCAGTGCCTCCTGCAAGGCAGAGTTATCAAACTCCGAAGGACGACCGGTGCGTGGCTGGTCTTCCAGGCTTTCATTTCCTTTCTGGAAGCGACTGTACCGATCATAGGCAGTGCTCTTGGACACAGTGTCCGGGCCAAACGCGGTATTGATGTCAGCGATGGAATTCCCTGCCTTCTTCTTGATTCGGAAGTCATAAAGAAGAAGCAGGCGAACTTGCTCCTTAGTAAGAGGGTAGGGCTGGTTCATGACTGGAGAGCACCAGGGCTGTAATAATATACGGTTGTATGCCGAAGGACACGACCTACTTATAAACACACGCAGAACATTCTAGCATGCTCTGGAAAAAAATTGTACTGGATATTCAAGAAATTCCGAGAACTTTCTTTCCAATCAGATAATATAAAATGCTTTAACGGTACCGGTCTCACGTTTCTTTCTGGAATGCACTCTAGGTCATACCCGTAAGACAGGCGTGAATCAGATGGAAGAATTGAAGACTGAAGAATTGCATGTAGGCAATTATGCTTCAATATCCCTAGAACCATTACTTTTTCATGCCACTTTGACATGCGAAGTGTATTTTTCGAACTTGTTAGGGAAGTTGTACTTTTTTCCTAGGAAAGTGGAATTCCCAATGAGATACAAATGATATAAAACAGGGTTTAATCGCACATGTGAAACTGGCCTCACACGTACAAGAAGGTACCCTTCTTGAACAATCCTACATTACATTCCTTCAGACCCTCATCTTTTTTGTTCGGAAAATTTTGGGCACTTCCCCACTGTATTTTACTTCAGCCATTCCCATAATTTATTGTATCACTTCTTCACTTTTCACACGTTGCATGAGAAGTCGCTCATGGTACGGAAATCTGTGGAATACATTCGTCATAATTCCCACTTCCCTTGTAAACGTTTGTGACATTCTCCCTCGAATTGTAAAATCTTTCATTGTACTTTCTTCCTTACCTCCATGTGCTTCTGATAATGAATCTGCTCTTCGTATCAGTCATTGTATATTGAACGTTATTTAAATCGAATGAATAGAGACCTTATAGTCTTATGCGGTTGGAGCGATTCATGAGAAAAGCATACAAAAATGCACTTGACTTATTTCCATATATTTTCTCCACAAAGTTTAAGACACCACGTACACGACGACGACATTTTAATCTGAAGCCAGGAACAAACATATGACAATCTCTAATTTGTATGGGATAAAATACTGTACAAAAGTGTATTAACGTATATATATATAATTTTTCTAGCTAAATCAATTTTCACAAAAGACTCACGATGAGTTCAACGAAGCTGTAAAAATTGTTCACAATTGCTTTTGTAAAGGCCACAAGCAATAATGAAAGAGAAGGTCGATGAAGAAAGTATCCACGCCACATGATTAACTGTTGCCGATGTTCTTTTCCCGATCTCCACTTTTATGGAAGATTGATAGGAGTTCAGGCGTTCAAATATTTCACAAGTGACTCTAAATATATCAATACAGTGATTTCTCAAAGTCTATTCGAATCTAGCCATCACAGAACGAGGCAGGTGGATGAAGCACTCAGTTGAGATAACCCCCACTTCAACCCCCTGTTCGACTTCTAATTTTTAAAGCGATTGCTCATTGCCTTCATTTGGCAATATCAACTTAGACTCAATTGTTAAATCTCTTAGAAGCAAGTCACTCTACACTATATTAAATTTTCGCAAAAATCGCTTCACGGAGTTGAAATATATATAGCTTCATAGTCCTAGACCAATTACCCTGTATTTCCACGTTTTTCTTGCAGGCAATTCCGAATGGTGAATAATGAGAATGTGACAGAGTTCCATGAAGGTTTCTTTGGTGCTCTCTCCTTTGAGAGCATATTCGTGAACCATACTGCCGTAAAGAACGTATCTCCATCAGCGATCCTGCCTCTTCGAGACCAAATTGAAAAACTAGAAATTTCATTCAGTCAACTGGAAGGGTTCCCATTCCACAGTCTCCTCAGCTTCCCTCGCCTTTCGGACCTCCGCCTTGAGAGAAACTCCTTGACCTTGGTATCGGCTATCCAGAGCAAGAGTCTCGAAATTCTCTCTCTCGGTTTCAATAAAATCAGGAACTTAGAAAAAGGCTGGGCAACGCCTAATCTAAGGAAGATCTACCTGAGTGAGTGAAATAATTTTTGTGGATCCTCCCGTATCAATACTTCCTGCGATCAAATAGATTCTCTCCCTCTTCAGTCTTTTCACATAAAAACTGTGTCCTGCCCATCCCGCCCGAATTGAGGTGATACTTAGACATGATGAGTTTCTTTTAGAAAACGAATGTTTTATTCAGCCAAAAACCCAAGGATAGTTAGTTTTAGTTAGTATATTCGTACCGCTGAAACTAGATGGCTGATATAGAATGGTTTTTGGATATTCTATATCGAATGTAAGTTATTCTGCTTCGTGACAGCAAACTGGCACATGCCCAATCTAAGTGAATGCATTTGCAGACAGAAACATAGGACATAAGTTACATCTATTTCCGACCAAAAATGTTCCCACGTCCTTGAAAATGTGGGCCTTTCAGAAGCGTTTTCACGAGCAGTTAAACAGCACGTATAGGCACGTCTATGCCAAGTTTCAGCTCTCCATGTCTCCTCGTTTGACTGAAGCAAATATATATAATTGAAAACATATCCTGCCAAAATGGGTGCCCCATGCCATGTACCTCCGAAGTCGAATTTTTCTGAACTCTGCATCCCAGTATGTACCTGTGTACCAAGTTTCAGATTTCTAACTTCTACAGAACATGGTTAGAATTAGCGTCAGTCACTCAGTCACTCACTCAATCACGATCGTACATATATACAGTATATGAAGTAATGTGAACACCAATTTTCAATGGCGTTTTTTCATTTCCCCACCCCCCTTCCTTTCGGGACTCACTAGTGTTAGGCCTAAGACTAAGCAACAGACTGCCTTCAGGTTACGACAAGGCCTACCTTATTTCTTTCAGTAAAACTCAGTTTTCGACTTACAGGGCCAATTAGCCCTATGAGGGTGAATCCGTGGTCTTCGAAACATCTCGTTCAGGACGTGTAATGTTAGGCCAATCGCAGGCCTATACATTAGTTCATGAACCATTTCAGAGAGGACATGCACGTTAGGCCTATCTGGAGTTCCTCGAACCATCTTGAATAGGTCTAAAGAGGGAGTGATTCCATAAAGCATACAAACCATGGCGCGCGCCATCCTGTCCATTCAGGCATGTCTGGATAATATATCTCCATATCCCACTAAATCGATCAATCACTACTAACCACTGCTTCATTCTCAGCTCATCTCGCGAAAAACCAAGACAATATTTCAGTAACTGCCGAGAGGTTCATGAGTCAAGGATTTTTCCATGCTGCAAGATGGTGCTGATTGCCGATAGAGGGTGCTGGTGTCGACAGCAGCGCCACCAACCTACTTGCTGTGTCATTTTTCAGGAATGAGAAAAGAAAACTTGTCCATGAGCCCCTCTACCAAATATCAGTTGAATCTGACAGTCCTTTGAAAAGGTATAGCCTATCAAAGGAGGTCGTCACTTGTAAAAATCGAACTTTGTTTGGTAATAACTTTTTAAGGAATAGTCAGTTGCAAGAAATGTTTTTTTACAGAGATGTTCATGGGTCTGTGACTTATTTGTTTCTTTGCCCGGCACATGGTTGTACATGTTGACAGGTGGCGCTGTGGAGCCACAAGTAAAGAAAGAGAAAGCGAATAGGAATTGGCTTTAAAAAGGAAGAAATATGTCTAGCAGTCTCACCACACCCGGCAAAAAGATGGTGGAAAAAAATGTTGATGGATATTTCGCAGAATGACATGGGCCAAATAAGTTTTTTTCTCATGCCTGAAAAAAGACAAAAAAAAATTGATAAGTGGCACTGTTGTCGAAATCAACGCCATCTTATGACAAAACCTCCTTGACTCATAAATCTCTCTATCAAATATAAACAGAATCTGACTGTCCCTTGAAAAGTTATAGCCAACAAAATACGGTGGTGACTTTATGATACATTCATTCATATCATGAATTCATATCTCATTCACATCATCATTCATGATATTCAGTTTTTGTGTTAAGGTTGACAACAATAAGCGCAAGGCTCTGCTGGTGACATTATAATCAGCCATCTGCTAAGTGTGGCCACCATTAACAGTCCTAATACTAACATCACTAGTTTGCAGAACGGTGAATTGACAATACCGAACCTAACCAAGACCTCAGTAAATCTGTAATACTAGTGTGTTTGCTCTCATTTCGACAAACTCCTAACCCTGCCACGTTTGGCGTTCGCCGTAGTAAGTAATAATGTAGGACTAGTAACAAAGGCTAATGATGTATCGTAAACATGCGTGTTTTTCATGTCACATGTTAATACACTAGATTTCGGAAAGTTCCATTGCAACGTCACGTAACGCACTGTTACATGACGTTATTGAAAAAAACATCGCCTCACAGACTGACCGTCGCTATCGATCTTCCACGTTTCGAAGAAAACGAGCAAAATAATGGCCTTTTCTTTTTTTGTGCAGCTGCAAATCCCCTTGAGAAGATCCCTGCAGACTTGGTTACAAGCATGACAAATCTAAAGGAATTCCACTGCGTCGCCTGCAAACTGGGACCCACCCTCCGAAGTCAGATGTTGGCGTTCGCCAGCAAACAGTTATTGAGGGTAGACTTGCAAGGGAACGAAATTTCAAAAATAGAACGACTCGCCATCACAGGTACGAAACCTCGTCTTGTCGACTCCCTTCGATCCGTGTCGAACCACTTCGACTCCGAAATCGTCAGATCTTATTTTCTTTCTTCAGAAATGTCTAGTTTTTGAATGGTGAATTGGTAAAGACCGAACCATATTCATTTAGTTGTAATTAAAAGGTATCCACAAAGTAAGGGCTTTTTTCAAAGCAAGTCTATGTAAACAATAATCGTGGACTCTTTTCAATCCCTGAAGATGCTTTGCAATTGTCGAATATAGGCGGAGGTTTTACCCTTGATATTATAAATTTATCAAGTCGAAGGTATGCAGATTAAATTATTCATTAAAGGAATCATGAGTGTCGCAAGCAAGCAAGACGGGTAAAGATATTGAACCCTATTCTCTGCAGGTATCAGGTGAACTCCAAGAAAATATGCCAAACTTCTCAGCTTGCCCTTCAGGCTGTATATTCTTACCTGAAATACATGATTTGATATGTATTTAAAGTGACGTCTTTACATACGATCATGTGACATCACAACTGAGTAGTGTTTAGTAAAATCATGAATGCATATTTTATCCGTCGTAAAAACGACGTTCGAATATTTTTTCTTACATTCTGAATATATGGGCAATATTGAAATGAATAATATTAAATATTAATATTAATTTGAAAAAAAGCTAAAATATATTCACATTTTAAATATTTATTTTGTCACTATTTCTTCATTATACCGGGTGGAGCAAATAAAAACTCGTCTTGTTTGACGCCTTATAAAATTAGTTGGGAATGATCAAGGTTCGTGATATTTTCATATTACGTTGGAAGCACTACAAATTTGTTTCCTGAAAGTTTCATGTACCTCGGTTGTCTAATTAAATATCGACAGTCGCTCAAAGTGGAGCCAAAAAAGTAACATTTCCTAGCACGAGAAGGATGGTGTTTCAGGAGTGCTCGCATGATTTATCTACCCTGACGCCATAAACACAGCTTTTTATGCCAGTTCTCATACTAGTATTCTGTGTGGTATCGATTCTAAGCCTACGAAGTACGACAGCAGTATTTTTCTACGATATATTGAGCACTATGATGAGAACTGGCATTAAAAGCTCTATTTATGACGTCAAGGTAGAGAAATTATTCTTGCCGTCCTGAAATACCATCCTAACTGAGCGTGGAAAAACACATTTCGTGACTCCACTTTGAGCGACTCTCGATATTTATTCATAAAACTTTGGTATATGAAACTATCAGAAACCAAATTTTGTGGTGTTTTCAACATAATATGAAAATATCACGAACTTAGATCATACAAAACGGATTTCATATGGCGTCAAACACGACGTGTTTTTTTGCTCTACCCGGTATGTAATATGAATGGGAAATTTCCCGTAACTTTATGGCAGACGGTATTGCATTTTTTCTCCAGGTCTCATGCCGGAAACGGAACTTATTATGGATGGAAACCAGATCACCGAATTGCCCAAGGAAGTCTTTCGCCCGCTCCTCATGTACAAATCTCATGCAGAAGGGTACATCTCTCTACAAGGTGGGCTGCGCCTTTCCACGCCAAGTCGTTTAATCTGGTCGCCTTCCAATCGGTCCTCTATGCCTCCTTCCAGGGAATCCCATCGAGTGCAACTGCCGCTTGGCCTGGTTCATCCACGAGCCGCACCTTATTGGGAGTGTTCGCGGAACTTGTGAAAACGGAACGGCGTTCGCAAACGTGACACTGCAGTGCGTGGAACGCGAGGAAGCAGATCTCTGCACCCCGGGATCAAACAGTTCCTCGAACGTGGACGACTGCCAATCTGACGAAATGTGTTGTCAACTAAAACCTTCGACGAAGAGTAATTATTTTTGGTCTTCACGATGGACAAAAAAATTTTACAGAATTTTGACTAGAAAATCCAATTGTCTGCTTCATCCCAGCTGTTTCTTCAAATCTGCTGATGAAAAATTTTCCATTCCTACTCGGGGGGACATAACTTTGAATTAGCATATTGATACAACGCGCGGAAGTTTTTCAATGTTGAGATAAATTTAATCAAACGTTACAAACATGGGTAGCTTATTCTTCAATTGACTGTTAAATGTTCTATGACAAGATAATCATTTCTGCTCTCCGGTACGAATCTTCTAAAGTAAATTGGACTCAAAATGTTTTACCATTTCACCAGAACCACCATTCGGGGTTCCCTACTTTCAAAGTAAGTGGTAAATACATATTTAAGAATATGTTCATATTTACCTCACAATATTCCCTATAATGTTAATGTAACTCATGAGAAAAAATATGCGGTTACCTGATTAAATTATTATTCATCTTACCTCAAGAGCTCCCACTCTAATTATAACTTTCACGATAATATCAACCGAATTCAGGAAGTTTTCTCTGCTAATGATGAAGTTTCATTGTTAATCAGAAACGCGCACCTTCGCCACTAGAATTTTCGAAAGGCATTAGATGTGAACGATTTTAGGTATTTATCATTTTGACATCATATTACTTCTGTTTAAGTGACATCTCCGCCTACTTGAGGTTAGCAACATCTTGTTTGATATACAGGGTGTATCATATGTCAGGAATCATAGTGTTGTATGTCCTAGCCTATGGCTCAGAGACGCATAGCCTTGCTGGCCTTGCGCGTCAGCCATCGCTTGAAGCTCACAAGAACATGCTTTTCCAGGTCTTCGGTTAGGCCATAGACCCCTATGATTCCTGACATATGCTATACCATGTATATAGCCTATCATGATATCGTAGATGGGTAAAAAAGACAATAAAGGTTTACATATCGGTGAAACTATTTTAAGAACGTAAAAATCTCCATTTCCTAGTTCACCAATGACGTCACATAACTGGAGGAAACTTGACTAAGCTAAAAATATGCCTATGACCCCAAGATTTTCACCAGATTCTTGAAAACGGATATTGCAAATGAATTAATCATTATCCTAGATAAAGGGCTTGTTGCAAGATTACATTAGCATAGCTTTCATGTTACCTCTCACTACTACATACTGTAATTTCACCCAAATGTCGAATTGTATATATTCAGTTGACTTTATTTTTAGAATTTAAAAAGACACCAGGAACTACTTATCTCTCACCTATTTATGGGATCAGGAGAAGGTGAAGTTGCGGCCATTTCCGCTGGTGTCATCTCAATCGTGGTTTTCATCCTCGGCTCCGTGTGCTACTATCGCTTCAGATATGTGCGAATGAGTCTTCCTCATGGTATAGAGCATTGTCATCATTCCTCGAGAATTTCGTATTGTCTGCATGCGCTTGTTTTCATGAACCTCGTAGGCCCGGAACATCGCCTTATCGCAGGAAGAAATGGTGAGATTTCTCCGAGGACAACCAGAGATTTCAAATCCCTCCCTGGGGCTCAGCGAACAAGCACATCTCCTGCCATTTGATGAGCGCTGGGACTTCCCACCGGAGAAGCTGAGAATAGGTGAGACTCCAGACAATTAATATGACAGCGTTACCTGACCTGATGCTGATGTCAAGGTGGGTTCCATAGGAGAGCAGCTTGGCAATGGTGCATTCAAGGCAGTGGCTGTGGGGATCCGTCCTCCGGAGCTTGAAACCACAGTGACCGTGAAAAAAAGAAATCCTCACTCCAGTCTGGAACTTCAACAGGCGTTGACGGAATTGAAGATCATGAGCCACATCGGTGTGCACTTGAATATCGTGAATTTCCTTGGCTCCTGCACCAAAGATTTAGCCCGGGGTGAGTTCGCCCATCATATTGCAAAAGGAAGTGAAAATCGAAGGAATGCCAGTTTGGTACAGCTTTTGTAAGACATGCTCATTCAAATCCTCATCCGCATGAAAACGTCTCAATTTCAAGGGCCTCCTTTCCGGAAAGGAATGACACCACACATATTATCTGATTGGAAAGAAAGTTCTCGGAATTTCATGAACAATTATACTGGATATTCAAGAAATTCCGAGAACTTTCTTTCCAATCAGATATCTTCTTCCCACAATCCCTCGCACTTTTGTTGTTAATTATGTAGTGTACAGTATTTGAAATGTTTCCTCTATCGCTATTTAAATTATTTAAATCTGTTTTGGCGCTATATTATAAATAAATGTGAGAAAATCATCACCTTCCCATTGCTTAATTGCTAAGAATTAATTTTTCACCTTTAAAAAATTCATGAAAATTTATTTCCCTGATGAAAATACATGTTTTACTTACTTCCATGATTATATACAATGACAACAACAAATATGAAGCTAGGTTTTAAAAAGGCAACCTGCAGGTGCAGAGAAGACTATCTGTAAGGATGTGTCACTTAAAAATCATCCTTTGTTTTTATTTGCTCTCAGCAGAAAAATATTTCGAGAGTAACTGAAACTCATTTTTAGATTTAGAAAAGTAAACTATAATAATCAAATTGTTCATAGTCCTGATTTTTTCGGGGGGGGGGACAAGTACGCATTTGAACTTGGCAAAGAATTCCCATTCATGAGATATTGATTTGCACAAGAGTTCGACTTTTGGGCCAAAAACTGCTTTGTCATATTTTGCCAACAGATTGAAATGAGATAGAGAATAGGTTACCTTGTCTAAAATTGCAGTCCAAAACTATTTTTTTCGGGGAAACTTTGAATTGGTAATTTCATATCAGGAAATCCGAAGTGTAGGCAGTATCCAGGCCTCGAGTTATTCAGACTGATCAGTTTCAGACTGATTCAGACTGATTCAGTGGGTGTATCGCATCCCCAACCAGACTTACTAATTCTCTTCCAGCCTTCTTATCTAATGGATTTATTGTCGCCTCAGCCTGGATTTCCCATAATAGGCAGAGCGACTAGCTGCGCTCCGGAGGAAATCCATATCTGATACAGCGACACGTCGTCCCTTATATCATCCTTCAATCCCCACTTGCTCCATACTCTTTCTGTTCTTTGCAAGTCATTGAAAGGAGAACCACAATTTAACTGGGCTTTACAGCTTGTTTTTCCTCACCTAATTCTATACTTCCTTTATATTCAAACGTTTTCTTGACGAATCTTCTGCAGTCGCTGATTTACTCTTCATCATTTTATGATTTGAGCTAATGGCCCAGTCTCATTTGACCCATTTTCACGTGAAAACTTAAAAAAGACGATCTTCATTTCAGGCAATCTAATGATGATTATGGAATATTGCCCCTTCGGATGTCTGGAGAAGTATCTGAGGGTGAACCGACCGTTCTTCATCAATCAGATCGATCCCGAAACTGGCATTTTCGATTCCGACATTGGGAGACAACGGCCTCCCACTGATGACTCGGCTTACGATGGTGCTACTCTAGGGGCCCAGAGACGGGGAACTCGAGAGTGGGGCATCTTACATTTTCATGCATTTCATGAGGACATATTCATCTTGCAAGAATTTTATTCCCAAAACAGGGAAGGTGGTCCGAGTTGTGATTTATTTAAATCGATAATCGACTCTGATGATCCCGACGGAGGACTCCACATGGATTCCGTTGCCTTTTATGTCAATATTTCAGTGTCTCCTATTGGTATGATATTCCTTCACCCTACACCCCTTCACCCCTACCACAATTGATCACTTTTCAGAAATTCAACCAGAAAGCTTAGCTGCAGCACAAGGTCGATAAATGTAGACATCGATCAACATACGTGGACCATGAAGCCAGTCCTCTTTTTTTTTTAAAGTGAAATATTCATTAAAAAAGTCTCAAAGTTCTCAATGACTAACCCATTCATATAGAGTTTATAAAAACATGAAGAGGGCCCTTCGCAACTGAAGACGCCATATTGAACACTCAGTGTTGGACCAACGGAGGACCATATTTTCAAGCTCATTCAATGTTGAACCGAATGTTGGTTGAAAATTTGTGCAATCTGGGATGTCACTGCTGCTTGAACAGACAAGCATTGAATTCGCTGGCATTATAGGAGTTGAGTGACTCATCGACTTCATCCTTTTCTGTATCAGTCCTTTCTTGTGTCCTAAGCGATAAATAACCACATTCATTTCCAAAATTTTATGATTTTGCTCGAAAAATTACCAATCAGAAATGACGTCAGGAAAATGGTCAGTAATGTGGTCAAGTAAATTTGGAAAAACGAAGCTCCACTCTCGAAGTTCGTGTATGAGAATGGCGAAGGCCCAACCCTCCATCTGTGGGTTAGTCCTAAGCTTACAAAATCAGCACCCTTGAAATGCATCCCTGGGGGCTTACACCTCCAAAGTTTGAATTTTTCTGGAATCAGCAATCTAATAGCTTTAGGCGCATGAAGTTACAATCTATCATTGACTGAGTAAACAACGCCGCTCTGTAGTCCTGTGTTTCATTCCAGATATTATTGAAAGATTTCCAAAATTTTTGCGGGTAAGTAGCTGCCTTTTTCACTATAGGAAGAACCAGGGGGTAGAGTCCTGCACGGGCTGTGACCCTGTCCGATAGCCCCGACCTGACCGCGGACCGTCTTGAGTCGAATTTTTCGAGATCGTTCTAATGGTGGGGTCGGGTCGGGCGGAAATTTAACTTTTAAATGGTATCGTTCTTCTGGTGTGAGACCATGGAAACTCTGTGTCATGACTGGGATCTTATTTATGCATTTATTCTGAGAAAAGGGAAATCCTAATTGTGTGACAATGAATATAAATGAAGGAGGGAAATATATTGGACGGGAATGGTGCAGTTAGTGCCACTCGAGACCGAATCTGTATGCCTCTTTCTCTTTCAAGAAATGTTCTCCCGTCCATCGGATATCGACAACCTCCTATTTTCGCAAAGCAACTTGGAATGATGAGGAAATACACTGAAAGACATAGGTTAAGGCGGTTATTTTTTTTACGGGTCGGATATTGTCGGGCCGTGAAGTTAGGTTGGAATTTGGGCTTCGGGTCGGATGCAGGCCATGACTTGAATTGGGCCTACCGGATCGGGTACCGAAATTCGGCCCGTGCAGGACTCTACCAGGATAACAAAGTGATAGAAAAATTCATAGCTCCTAACTCATTCTCGGCAGATGATATTTAAAATTGGATTGCACGGTCTATACCTACTGACCATTAGCATTTGAATGATGCATAACATGATATGATTCATAAGCATAATGTTTCAACGCGTCTTGCAAGCATACATTAACGTATCTAATATATATAGACGATCAAGAGCGACTGAGTGAGTGATTGACAGACGCTAATTCTTACCATGTTCTAGAAAAGTTAGAAATATGAAACTATTTGACGGAGGGAAAGCAAACTCGCTAGTTATACAGGTATATATAGATATTTTATTCACATGCGATATGAGTAGATAGGCCAAATACAAATATATTTTGCCCAGATAAGGTGACTCATGAAACAAATGATTAGTTGATAATATCATGTTCGAAATAATGTCAAATGTTGAAGCTCATATGTTTCCTAGCAAAATATTTTATGTCGGACTCCAAAATGTTTTACTTTGTTTATTTTTCTGTCTATAAAATATATCATATGGAACCCCCTTAGTGGTAACTCAATGGCTAGAAACATTGGTCTTGTTTCTGTTTTTGGAAAGTCTCCTCCTGCTTCTCTTCTCACGTCGTCTGAAAATCGTCAGCTTAATAATTCCATTTCCTTCAGCTTCAATTAAACTCTTGGCTGATGCGCGATAATTTTCTCCATAGCTTCACTTTTGCTTTCCGTTCATTTCATCGGCTGCTGCTTTTTGCTGGTTGAAAAAATTTTTTAGAAATAAAGAGAATCAATCGTCTCGCAGAGGAGCACAATCCAAGAAATGCCGCGCCGACTGAGAACAAAAGTCGAGAGTCCTCAAAAGGCACCAAGCAATTCACAACTACCAATCTGATCTCTTGGGCCTACCAGATAGCTCAAGGCATGGAGTTCTTGGGCTCGAGAAAGGTGACAGGTTATTTTGCTACCTACTCTAAAACTAAAACTAAAACTCTCCGTGCCATTGTGTGTTGAAACAAAATTTCACGGATAAAAAAATATTCATTGGGTTAGTCTGCAACAATGAACGTTCTACCACATTCTACTGTTTAAATAATGATGAATGACTTATGAATACATGCGTTTTTGTGTTGTCACAGATCGTCCATGGGGATCTGGCCACGAGGAACATATTGCTGGCTAAAGATAACATCGTGAAAATAAGCGACTTTGGCCATCCCAGAGATATCAATAAGTACATCAAGAAAGGAGAGGCGAGTTCCGCATGTGATCATCACGATTTTTCTCGTGAATCGCTTGCATCCTCACCGGCGACCATCTGGTTCTTCTAGGGTTCGCTGCCTTTCAAATGGATGGCATTGGAGAGCCTAACCGAAGAGATGGTGCATACGAGTGAATCGGATGTTTGGGCGTATGGGATATTGCTTTGGGAGATGTTCAGCCTCGGAGGGGCTCCGTATCCGGGGATGAATCAATCAGAGCTTGCGCAGCGTCTTCAAGACGGATATCGCATGCAAGCTCCGGAATTCTCGAATGACCATATGTGAGACTATCATACAACTTTGTGATCAAGGAAAGGATTTTCTCATCCTACTTCGTTATTCGTTCTTCATAGCTACCAAATTATGACGTGGTGCTGGGATGCGAATCCAGACAGCCGACCCATTTTCTCCTCGCTGAGCACCTGTTTCAAGAGTATGTTGCCTGAATCCGAGCGTATGGTGAGATTGGTTTCAGGTTCCCTTCGAATGTCATTTTCAAGACTAAATTCCCGAAAATCTTACGTAATATTCTCTTGCAGCACTACCAGGAGATGACCGAACAACAAAATCAGAAAACAAACCCCGAGTATTTCCAGACAAATAAAGACTACTTACAGGGAAACCATGATCCACAGGCACAAGAAGAGCCCATGGTAAACGCCAACATGACTGACACAAATGATCCAATTTCTGCAAATGAGGAGCTTCGTCAAGTTGGAACCGAGTCAGCAACCATATCGAGCGTGCGAATAGACCATGGCCACGGATACGAAAGGGGGCCGACCAAAGACACGAACTCGCCGTTTCATGTACGCGACGAGTTGAAGCCGATCGCACAGAAAGCTGCCAACGTCCTCCATAAATAGTCAAGATGCCCTTGAAGAGTATGCTATTGGATTGCAGTCTTCTTACAACATTTAAGTCCTTGAAGCTCTTCTTACAAAAAAATATAAACTTATTTTGAATGTTGCCATCATAAAGTCTTTGACTACGAAACGAACAAATGTATAAATATATGTATACGACATGGATGACTCACTCCAGCCCCACAAAGCAGAGGTAAAACTCGTCCACAAGCGTCCTGAGGAAATCGAAAATCACGATCAATCGCACAGGGCGGCGGTCCTCAATCCCTCTAACTGAGAGCCTCTCTCCTGCGTTATCCGGTTGACCCACTTGGAAATCTGCTGTGGATGGGACATTGTCACTTAAAGCATTTCTTCTCCTGAGCGTTCTACTTTCCCCATCGATACGGTAGGAGTGATGGAGCTGGGAACAAAGAATGGAAATGACCTCTTATAATGATATATATATTTCTGAAGAATTCCTTGATGATTTAACGCGGACATAATTGCTATTGCCAAAAGGTAATGCATAGTTAGACTGGATGCTTGCTAATGAATTAAACATATGTAGGAAGTATTTTTTTCAATTTTCTCAACCATTCACGACATTTCATGAATTTCTTTCCTGGCATTCCAATTACAACATTCAAAGTTGAATATGCAGAGTGTGAACAAAAGTATCACCAACGACTTTGAATCTGAATAGCTCCGCTCACAGCGGATATATTTTCGCGAAACATTGCATACATGAGTACGTTACCAACTCCTTTTGAGATTCAAGGATTTATGATAAATCAACACTTCCAATCAAGTTATTTTGTTATCTCTTATCATGGAGATAACTTAGCGTGAACCCCAAAAAGGTTAAAGTTCCAAGCAAATCTAAGCGCCAAATGGCGCCCAAGGCAATTGTTGAAAGAAGTTGAGAATGGACTAAAACTCCCGCTGGTAGGGGAGTGGATGAAACGCTCTAACGCTGTCCTCCCTGGTCATCGACACCGCGTCGAGTTCCTCTTCTATTTCGAATCTATTTACATGCATTGGGTTGATCGTCCCCCTGCGCAAGGTTTCCATGAGCTTATTCCGAAACGATTTCTAGATAAATAGTTTGCAGGTACTTGCAAAAGTGCTACTAAAATGGAACTCACATGTGATGAACAAAGAGCGAACATTTCAGGCAGGACGTCTTCCTGATGCTAGGAATGTCATCGAAAACTGAACATTGCATGTCTTGATGATGCTCTTGGACATATGGACATATGGATGTTTCACATGGACGAGCCAGGGGACCAATGTGCCCCACTGACTCCGCCCCCTCCCCCCCTCCCCCCCTCCGCCCCCTCCCCCCCTCCGCCTCCCCCTCCCCCTCCGATCGCAAAACCCTGCCAAAAGGCCTGGATACACCGCCCGTGGAAAAATCTCATCATGGATACTAAGTGCTGAAACAACTTCAATAATTTCATTTCGATGGACGTGTATTATATTAAGACACTAAGATATATTAAATTATATTAAGTATTAGTGTAAAAATGAGCGCGCCCCGGGCATGAAAGCGGGCAGGAAGAAGAAACTGCCTCCAACGGCCGTAATTCCTTCTTTTCCCCCTTTTTTTGTAGAGGCTGGCATGCGCCGTTTTGTCCACGAATTGCATGTAATTAAGAAGATAGTTTTTTTTTTGGTGGGCCTCGTTTCCTGAAANGTCACCGATGATTAAATCAGCGTCACCGATGATTAAATAAGCGTCACCGATGATTAAATAAGCGTCACCGATGATTAAATAAACGTCACCGATGATTAAAATGCGGAAAGCAAATAGAATTCAGCGTTCCTATGAAGAATTGCGAAGAACGTAAGGAAACATCATGAAATGTATTTCATAGGGCGAAAAAATCCGCAGAAACCTCTAATTTCGAAACGTGTCAGCAAGATTCCGAAGTTCTGCACCACCACTTTAAAGGGTGATCCCAGCCGTTTTTGGATCGCTTCGCAAATTTCTCTTGATGGGGCTGGGGGAAAAAAAAATTGAATCGAATTTAAATTCTTGCGGTTCCCCTGTTTGTGGCGGTTTGCTCGGGAGGGTGCTTCGTTCTGTGGCGATTCGATCATGAATCGCGGGATGTGGCATGGGATTTCCGGAAGCAGGTGTCGCCGATTGCGCACCGATCGATATCGAGGCTTCGGCAGTCGTAAGGGGAGAAAACTTTTTTTTATATATCAAAGGTTAAGCATAAAAAAATGGCGGAAGAAGTACCAACTGCTTGATTCGCGAAGTGGACGCGATAAGTCGTTTCGGAAGCCGATGGGGCGTTTGAGTGCGTCCGGAAACTCCGCGAAAGACTGATTCCTGCTGCAAAAAATAACTTAGGCGTTAATAAGGAATTTCGTAGGAATTTAGTGCTTCAAATTTCCTCGGAAACGACGGAAGTACGATTCCCATCGTAACTTCAGTCAGTACTTTTCTTGCCGCGCGAGTGCAAGGAAGTATAAGAATGAAAAAGAGTACGACGATCGTAGAAGATTAAATGGAAACTGAAAACGAACGACTGCGAAATCGGAGCGTGCAGAAAACGTCGCCGATCGGTTCCTAATCGATAGATATCGCGAAATTGCGACCTCTCTGCGACCCTCCTGCGACCTCTCTGCAACCCTCCTGCGACCTCTCTGCGACCCTCCTGCGACCATCCTGGAAGTCGCGCATGAACAATTCATGGAATTCAGAATTTTCTTCGTCCGCGACTTTTGAATCCAAACTCCTAGAAATTAATAAACTATAGTAATAAACTAATTATATATTATATATTAATTATATATCAATAAACTAATAAACTCTAGTACCAGCCCAGGTTCAGATCTGGCATTCCAGCGGTCTCAATACCTCTCCATTTTTTCTTCCCTGCATCCAAACCATCCAACCGCGAAATAAATAATCGTCATTGGAGACGGGAGGAGAGCGTCAAGATGCCAGATGCGTCGTTCTCACGCGCACGCCTGGCAACCCTGCCCACGCTGCCTCGAGCATCCGCCCTCCCCCGCTGACCACTGCGGATCCGTCCACCGCGAGGGCCGGAAGGGAAGTGGAGGCTTTCCCCCGAGGACGGGCACCCCGACCCGGCCGGAAAGCCGCGCATGCGCACCGAGTCTTGCCCTCCGGTCGCCATGGCAACCGCGGACGGACCGGGCAAAAGCGAGAGACCGGTCGGCGACACCCGCCATTCCCCCCACAGCACCCATGCGAGGGCATAGTCATTTATCTTAAATGGTAAGCGATGCTATGCCGAGCCCTAAAAAATGATAAATTAAATATATTTTTACCTCGAAGCAAAACAAATACATTAAATACAATTTAAAATGTGCACTAATAAATCAAATTCGCAAAATAAATGCCTCAGCAAGACACGCGGCGTGGCTCACCAAAGAGCCAGCGAACAAAACGGCCGGAACGCGGGAAGGGTGACGGCCCCACGAGCGGAAAATCCGGCCGAGGACAAAGGAATGGCCCGACAATCGCCGGGAATTGCAACATTTCCGACGGGAACTCGGCCGCGAAGGAATCCAAGAATTTCGCTCCAATTTAAAAAAAATCGTTCAATTCTTTCGAATCGCTCGAAATTTTCGGCTTGAGAATTCGGCAACCTCTGTCATTTCAATAGAAAAAAAATAGTCTCAAATTTTAATTGCAAAATTTAAACCCCAAGTCCACTAGGCATTTAGCAACTCGAAGCAGGAAATCTGCCAATTCCTATGCCAATAAGTTATGCAATTCGACTCCTGCTGATTTTCGGCCACGGAGGGTTTTCACGGATTCTTCTGAATTTCCCTCCAGGAATCCACTGCGCTAAATAAATAAAAAATTTTCACCAATTTTCCTAATTATGCTCGTTTTTTTTCAGGTCAGGAAGCACGACAGAGAAAAAAAAAAAGGAAGCCCCACGAGGCAGTTTCGCCTCCGGTCGCCTCCACCCAGTTGCCTCCATCCTGGAGCGCCCTCCATTCCAAAGAATTCGCGTTCCTCCAATAAGCCAATTTTTTTCGCGATTTTCTGCGCGTTTTTTCCTCCCCCAAATTAAACGAAAATTTCCCTCCGCGCTTGAAACGCAATATTTTCTCTAAATTTCGGGGACGAATTGTATCATAAAAATAATTAATTATCGGACCATTTAATTACGACGAGAGCCAATTAAACAACTTTCCCAAATATCTCCTAAACGAGCATAATTAGGAAAATTGGTGAAAATTTTTTATTTATTTAGCGCAGTGGATTCCTGGAGGGAAATGGGGGGGTGCACCTTATACACGAGGAATCTTTTTTTACGTAAATTGGGACCTCA